TGTAGACTTGGACAGAGTAGGTGTTCTCTGTGATTTTGTACATGCTCACACTTGAATGTTTTTCCCTTCATTAGCCAAGGTGCTGTTTTTTGCTAGGTTTACAATTAAGGTTAAATCAGCCTCTGAGCGTTCAGAGAAAGATTGGCAGAGGAGAGTTCAGAAGAGAGGAGGGGCAACTACAGATAACTAAACAGTATTAATAAATTCTTCATTATTCACCTACTGGACATCATCTGCAGAGCAAGTAACAACATGTGATTGTGAAAAATGAGATGCAGAAAAGTCCAGAAACCATCTTTTACTTACAGTCTGTGGTTCTAACAACTGCTGACTTGCCCAACCCCTTAAATGACTGCTAGCTTAAGAAATGCTTAGTGATACTGAACTGTTTGTTGTTGAAACAGAGGGCCGAGATGGCACACATGAACTTTGCTACAGTTTAAATGTCACAGCTCAACAATTAAAAAAAAAAGGAAGGTCATCTTAAAAAAAATAGGCTAGCTTTTCTGTGTTCTCCCAGCTTCTGTGCTGTATGTTTTAGCTTTTCATTGTGAATGTGTTCATAAAATAAAAATTTCATTCTGCTGCTCACACAACAGACAATGATCGAAACCCTCACAAAGCAAATAACACAATATATCTTATTATTAAGCCATTCGTAAGCCAAATTACACAATGACTTTAATAAAAATCAGTGGCAACAGATCCTGTAGTGAATCCTAATTTCAAATGTATGTCATGGTTTAGGGCTGCTTTTCAAGGAAAATGTCTGATTGGCAGCAGCCTAATTTTTCAGCATGACAATGACCCCAAACACATCCAGTAAAAGCATACTTAGATACAAAAACACAATGAAATATTATCGGTCGTGGACTGGCCTCCCCAGAATCCAGACCTGAACTTTATTGAAGTGGTGTGGGATCATCTTGACAAATAACAGCACAAAGGGCAGCCACCATCCAAAGAAGAGCTTAAGAAGATTGGAGTGCTACTCATGAAGAATACTTATCAAAATTACAAGGAGGCTGTTCTGAACCACTCTCTTGTTGCCTTATAGATTATATATCCATTTATGTTTGGATAGCTTTCAATAAATCGCTGCACCAATTTCCAATTTTTCACAGAAATTCAGTTGTCTCAAGACTTACAGAATACTGTATATATATATATTTGTATATATGACCTACTTGGTTTGGTTTTAAAAAAATCATGGCTTGGATCAAAATACAACACCTGACACCTATTTTAAACCTCAGTTTTCTTGGTTGTCAGGGTGATGCGTCGCCTCTGAAGAGTTGCTGGAGTTAAAATAACACATGGCGGACAGAAGGAAACTCTAGCATGCCAGTTGTGAATACCATAAGTTTTCTCAGTACTAACAGAATCTGTAACAAATCCACCCCCGGGCAACAAAATCCAGGACGCAGACAATAGCATCCACACCCCAGACAGGACGAATCAACAGCCCAACAACAGCCGCCTGCTTTAAGTTTACCACTGCCACTTGACTCCACTCCAATAGGCTGTCTCAGTCGTCTAAGCCCACAACCTGCCAGTCAGTCAGTCAGGAGGTTGGGCAGCCGGCAGAAAAGCTAAAGCTGGCCAAAGATCCACGCCGCAGCAGCATGTGTGCTGAGAGTGACAGGCAGGCTGACTTGGAGGAAACAGAGGTCACAGGGTCATGATCTGTCTGTCGTCTGAGGGCCCTGACACTCCGACACTGTGGGGAACAGCCTGCCACAGCAAAATGTCATTTTACAGCAACGCTTAGAACGAAAACCCCAGAAAACCTGTTTTTTCAAAGGATCAGTTAACTATATATTGTTTTTGCTTCAAGCTTAAGCAGCATCCAGATCTCAGAGCTTTTTGCATCACCAGCAAAACAATGCCTTTTTCCTGAGCTTTCAACCACATCAGGTCTGGTTTTCATCCAGTGACTACAGAGGGAATCTCATAGCTCAAAACCCCCGAAAAAGGAAAGCTACTGAGCCATGAGTTCCATGAGAAATCAAACTTTAAAGCTCTAAAACACTCTTAAAATTGTTAAATACAAAACCTTTATAAGGAATCTGAATTAGAGCGTAAAACTGGACAAATTTAGTTTTAAATCAGAAGAAACTTGATTAAACAGTTGGCTAAGCCTTCAAAGCCAGCTTTTCCTACATTTACTTTGAAGTTGGTTTTATTTTAGGCTGTCAAAGTTTCTTTGCCCACAAGCGCACTGTGGAGAAAGAAAGTGCTGTACACACAAACACACATGGTGTGCATAAATATTTGTGTCATTTGGTTTGTAAAACCTCACTTTCTTTATCCATAGTGCACTTATGGACAAAGAAACTGAGACTGGCTAACAGAAAAGCAACAAAATGTGTAATTTTTGTACATTCGCACTGTCTCAGTATAAGGCCTCACTGGGCACTTGACTGTACTTTTATCCTTTATCCTGCTGCCATAACAGATAAAAATTAACAGTAAACTGCATCTTAATGGGTCACAGCTGGTATGCTGTATTAAAAAAAATGGATGGATGGATTTAAAAGATGTAACCGCTTGAAGGTGGTGTTTTCAAGAAGTGGATTTCACACTGTTTAGGACATTAAAGCAGAGTGTGGTTTAGGACAGGTCTCTATTGACAATGGCACCTGCAAAAATCCTCAGCTTGAGGCTTTAAAAAACTTTGCAGCCCAGTGACCAACATCAAGGTGTCCATATCCATCTTTTACATACAGTCTATAGTTGGTAATCACCTCTTAAAAGCGTGAACACAGAGCTGAGGAAGCAGACTGTGGTGTCCTGTTTCTTTGCTTGTCAGCATATTTCACTGACACCTAATCGTTGGCTGATACTTCAACATCTTCTGATACACAATCTGTGCATGTGATTTGTGGAAAACAGCGCCATCATATCCTGTATGAATGTGTTATTCTCAATAGTTAAAAGATTTCTGAGCACAAATATTTAAAATCAATCAAACCTCTGCTATAGAGAAATACACCCAATTATAAAGCTTCTTCATAACTATGTAATCACTGTATGTATCTGGATATTTGTTTGTTGTATATATTCTTTTTTAATAATAGACATAGATTCTCTTTTTTTCAATAAAGAGAATTCTCTGTATGCCTGCAACCCTTATTTACAGCAGTGTTGCCAACTATATATCTCTATATAAACTATTTTCTCTAGATTTACCCACTTTTTATAGCCCTACAGCAGCCCCACCTCCCAAAAAAGAAAAAAAAATACACAGTACCACATCACGCCTTGCTTTCAGAACAAGGTATTCTCTTTGTACGGATCAGCAGTGAGCACTCAGACAGAGGCTGTACTGTGTGAGGTGTGTAAAAAATGTTAAGAAGTTCTATGGGATCTATTGTTCTCCTTCATTTAACTCATAAATATAGCGTAAACACAGCCATTAACATTCATTTGTGTGAATACAAAACTATGTCACATCCGCAGATTTATCTTTGAGGCTTGATGAGTCTGTGAACATGGGTGTGATGGTTCAAGACAGAAGGCCTTTCTGTGCTGCTGCCTCAACTTCAGGTCATCAAACACATGATCCACTGCCCCTGCTGTTGAGCTCTCATTATTTAATAGCACGATACAGAAATCTTGCATAAGTGCAGCAAGTTAGGGAGCATATGAGCATACACATAAATACACATAATAACTCTTTAACATTTTTATACAGACTACAGTTTCTAATGGGATGATTGTAAATAAAGAAAGGAAACAGGGGTCTGGACATAATTCTGATAATGTGAATTATATATTGATGGCTAATTAGCCAAGTGCTCATGTTGCCTATGCTAGTTAGCCATGTTAAGCAGATTAACGCCTGGAGAAAACTGTATTGATCACTGCCTTTCATTTCAGCTTTTAATGTAACTGACGTGGGAAAATCTGCTGTCTAGTGTTGGCACTGCATCTATGCGAGACTGTTTCTAACCACTTTTATATGACGCATAATATCTATTTTGAAGATTTTTCAGGTAAAGACTGAACTGGAACATCAGAATATTGGATTTTCTTTAATAACCTTGTCTTGATGAAGTGATGGTGTTTTGTTTTTTTCCTAAAAATTCTCATTTACTGCCTTTAAAAAAAGCCAGGTATCAACCTAAACCAGACAGAAAACAGCGAACAGAGGAGAGAATCAAGCACAATGGTACCAAAACAGCAGTAGAGACTTTCACAATGAGCTGAAAGAGTCCACATAAATAACATCATATTCAGATTTCTAATAATGCGTTACATGCATGGTCAGCAGCTCTGACCATGTGTCAAACTCCAGTCCTCGAAACTTTGAAATGTGTCCCTGCTGCACAAACCTGAATAAAATTAGGTCATTGGAAAGACTTGACTGCATGCCGAGGTGGCAACCCCTAACCCTTGTGCAAGTAAGTTTAAATAAATTTAAGTTTTAACTTCTAAAAGTACTTTTATTGCACCATATTCATGAGCTGCTGTACCATGAATCAAATGGCTGAATTGCCACCTCAGCATGCAGTCAAGTTCCACAAAGTTCTGATAATGACCTACTAATTTTCTCCATGTGTTGCAGCACGGACACATGGAAACGTTTCAGGACTGCGGCCTTCGAGGACTGGAGTTCGACACCTGTGATGTAGAGCAAACCTATACGTTTATGGGATTGGTTCTTCAGGTTGTTTTATATGGAGCGCTGCTGTCTGAATCTGTGGTCTTGTTTCAGAACAGCTCCAAGATGGAAAGGCTCAACCAGGTTGACTCTTTGGTTGACTCAAACACACTTCTGCGTGTTATAAATGTGAGACAGATGTTTCCATGGTTTAAACATGCTTGTGTTTTGCGGGCTGGTTTAAACTCGGCAGACACAAACATTGGATTAGCCTTAAAAGCCTTAAAAGCACAATTGTTTCACTGCTGCTAGTTTAGAAGAACTGTTTGACTTTTCAACATGAATTACTGACTTTAAACATTTCACAGAAATCAATCCCCAATTTTATACTTACTCTCTCCTTCTATTTTGTCTGGGTTTCTGCTCCACACTATCTGCCTCGTGTCCTGCCTTATCTGGAACGTTCTCCTCTCAGGGCGCTGAGACTTTTTCTGATAGAAGATGGTCATCACTGTGCCCATTTCCAGGCTGTGGAGGATGCGGGCACCTGCCTCAGACCAGTCCAGCATCCTGGAGACCATGACTGAACCAGCAGCCCCTGCAACACTACTGGGGGCCTCCTCAGCACAGCCATTGAGGCAGCCACTGAATCTGGCTGCACACATCTTCACTGCATCGCTAAAAGTAAACCTTGCTGGATTACTAATCTGTTGTGATTTCTCGAATAGGATGCTTATCCTTCAGTCACCAGCTGCAAGCAACAAGGACAGGGGTATTCAACATGTTCAAGCCCACTGGGGTCAGGAGGAAATCTGGTTATGAACTGTGTCAGTTGGGGCAGCCAGAGTGAATAAAACTATTCCCCAATAAAACACAAGCTAAAAGGCATCAGTCAGCAGCTGCACAGCTCAAACACCGACCCGTCTGAGATGTGAACTATCCTCTGGTACTCTGGAGGGGGGAGTGTATTCCTGTCTTATCCTTTCCAGATGCTTCTGGCAGCACACCAGTGAAATCCACTCGGGGTGAGTTCTCATCACCGCCAGACAGCGTGATGATCCGGCTTAAAATCCTGCTTGGACGCCTCGCTGCTCTCGCTGGGCCGGTAAACAAGATGTGGATCCCCTCACCGCTGACTGACGAGAATCAAGTCGGGGCTGGTGACAGAGACGCTGGGTTATGCAATAACGAGCCGGGCAAATACCCGGAGTGGCGACGGAGAGGAGGACGGGCAGCGGCGGCCGCTATGTGGCGGCTTCACGGAGACGAAGAGACGCGCGGATGGGAAAGCACGGAGCAGCCGCGACGAGACTCGGGAGCGCTCCCATCTGCCGAAGCATTCTGCTCCCTTCTCCCTCTCTGTTCCTCCTCTCCCAGCTCACAGGATCCACTCACCCGTGGTAGAAAACCCCTTGAGACGGGTGCAAGACTGTGCGGTTAATTTCACCAGGTCCTCCCTGCTGCTCCTTCCCCAGGATGTCGCTCTCTGTCTCTGGATCTGTGCGTATCCTCAGCTTCAACGCCAGAGGTCTTGAGAGGAAATTAGTGCCAGCAGACCGGAAAAGCTTGATCCGACTTTTTTTTTTTGCCTGCTGTACAGTATCTGAGGGAAGATGAGGGGAGTAGAGGGAGAGTCGCAGGGACAGCCAGAGAGGGAGAGAAGCCAGAGAACAGAGCGCCCTCTGCCGGCCTCTACAAGATCCGCAGGTGAAAGCGTTTTCTGCAGCGAATGCGCAGTGGACTCAGGGGGTATCTGGGCATGTCAGGAGGTTAAGTGCGGTTCAAATTACAAAGGTCACTGATGTGTCACCTAGTAGCAGTAAATCAAAGGTTTTACGCGACTGGTGAGCTCGCTAGAGGTTGTTCTTTTTGTTTGTTTTGTTTTGTTTTTATGTCGTAGCTGAAATTTAGATTTCCAGGACATTATACATATAATCGTTTTAAACTAATACTGTTAATAAGGGGAGCATGTTTGGGAGCATTTTGATGGATTGTCTGACCAACATGTTTGTAGTGTACAACAGACCATTCAGCAAGTTTGTGCTTTAATTCTGGGGGGTGAAATTGTAGTGGCTTATCAGTCCATTACCTAGCACTAATTAGCCAATATGTCTGCATCTTGCGCTTATTTTATGGATGCACTTTGCAAATTGCGTGTGCTATTTAATATGCCCCCCTTCTTTCCAAATATAGTAATTTATGTCCTTGAAATAAAAAGAATACTGGTTAGAGTCAGAATCTGAGTCTAAAACCAGTTTGTCACTTCCAGCTAGTTTATACAGTATTTCTTAACCGCTTCCACTCCCTCCTCTGGGGTATCCCTAAAATGTCACCCTGAACTCTGTTCAAAATGCTGCTCTGTGGTTTCTTAATGTACCTATTAGAACTAATTTTAGGATTGTATTGATCACTTTTTTTCCGCGTCACTGTAGCAATCGGAATTGTCTTCTGAAGTCCAAGGAAAATGCCCAGATTGATTGTGCCAAGTGGACCTTTTGCTATACTGGTCCACTTGATTGTCATAATTAATTAGAATTTTGTCAGGATTTTTTTTTTATTACTTTTTAAATTTTAATATTGTTATTTTATTTTAAGTCATTACAATCAGAACAGACATAACTGGGGGATGACGAAGAGAAAGAAAAAGGACAGAGAGGTTGGGAGAGAATGAACAGAAGGATAGGGAAAATAGAGAAGAAGAAGTCCAAATATATGTGGACCTAACAGGATAATAAATTGATTCTCATCTTACTGCACAATGCAAAACTTTAGTAACTTTTATTATGTACAGTACTTTGCAGAAGTCTTGAGCCACTAGTCATTTATTTTTCTTATAATAAAAAATACATTCTTCTAACTTTTAAAGTGGTCCCGAGCTTTTTTGTGTGTAGAGATTTTCACTCGTTTTCAGTCGCGTCTATGCACATCGCCACTTTTGTTTTTTAAGTCACTTACCACTGACCTATCAGCCAAGCATTAAAAGCAGTGTATCAGTGTGTTGTCTGCAGGAAACAGAAAACTTAGCAAAGAAACAACTTAAAATTATACCTTTAGACACTTTGTTACTAGCAGCCAGAGGCAAAAAGCACATAATTGGTTCCCATTTCTTTACACAAATACAAAAAACCAAATTGACAAATTGCTAAAGAAAAGACTGTTTGACAGGCATTGAGTTGTATCTTTGCACAAACAAGGTGGGTTTGAATTGCACTTCAGCCAGTGGTGTTGGGGAACTTGTCAAAATTGATGGCATTAAGAACACAAAAATAGAAAGATTTTTATCATGACAATGATCCCAAAACAGTGTTTTATCCATGACACTATCAATCATGGACTGGCCTCAGCAGAGACCAGACCTCAACATTATTGAAGCAGTGTGGGATCATCTTGGCAGAGAACAGAACAAAAGGCAGCCAACATCCAAAAGAAGAGCTTGAATGTCTTGCAAGAATCCTGGAGAACTATTCCTGAAAACTACTTATAGAGTAAAGGTGGTCATGCCTTACAGACTTTCAAACTATAGAACAGCACAAACTGTTTTTGCCTTATATACTGCATTTCCATATGTTTGGACATTCCAATAAATCACCTATTTCCCATTTTTCCAGCAAAATATAAAGAGATTAGGGATGGCTTAAAAGTAGTGTCGTGGAATTTTGGATAGAGGATTTGTACCTTGTGATCCCCATAACTAAAGGAATAACTCGCCCACTACTGACCATTATTTATGTAGTGAAATAGACTAAAGTTCAGTAATGTGCATTAGCAGGACTCCCTGAGGCTGTAAAAGAGTGTGGACTGATCCACCGCTGAGACAGTCAAGGATGATATCACTGCCTCTCTGTTTTTAATCAGCTCCATATGTCCACTGGGTGTATCTCCAGTTCCACTACCACTGGTCAGCAGGCAGCCAATCAGAATTCAAGGGAACTCTTCTCACATGTCCTGCAGCAGCAAGGAAAAGAGGCTTGGGGGGTGGGATGTAGAGAATTGATGCCAACAGTTTTCAGATTGAAGCAGAGTAAAGAGGAATGGTGAGCATTCAGTTAATCGCCTAAAGGTTAAATTTTACATCTAAACTAAGAGCAGTACCATTACACTCTGTCTCCATCTTCACTCTGCTGCTTCTTTTCAAACTTAAAATGAATCCTGCAAAGAAACCATAAACTGCAAAAAGCAGAAAAACATGTTGAAATGAACTTAAAGTTGTTATCATGGCACATTTAATACTGTTTTAGTGGCATGCGTTTGATTTGTAGGTAAATGAGAAGAACACTTGGAAACAGCTGCAGTCTTTGATTTTCAGTTTCTTTACCATCACTGGACAGAAACACAGATACTGTCAGAACAGCTGAAAGAAATAAGCTACACGTGAGTCCAAGGACTTATACACAGCTTTAGAACTTTCTTTTTCTGTGTGGATTTAACAAACGCAGCCATTTATCTTTTACTGAGTCCTTCCATTGGATTTGAGAGACTTTAGTTGTGAATAGGTTTTTATTACTAACACATATCACTACGAAACTGGGCTTGTTTATTACTAACATAAAGAATATTATTTTATGTTTACAACTTTTTTGTTACATTTCTATGTTTAACTTGAGCATACCTTTTCAAAACAAATGTGAATATTTGATAAAAACCTCGTTGTGTCATTTTATTTTCATATTAAGAGCCCAGAAAGAAACACATTAGGTAAAACTGTTCCATAAATCAAGCACTCAATGACAATCAATACACTTGTTGGTTAAAAAAGTGCTATAATTTGCAGTAATACAGCAGGAAAGTTCAGAGATGTAAATACAACTGAAGTGGTGATTTCTTGCTCACAAAAAGCAGCCTTTGTTATTGAAGATGAGATTTTATTATTAAATACAAGTTATCAGTAAGAATTTTAAAGACCCCCACACTCAAGGTGATTATATGAAGATAATTTACTTTTTTTTGCATGGCAGGATTTCTGGAATTTTACAATTAAATATGAAAAGTGTGTGTTTTACATATTACATATGAATCATTTTACATTAATATCATGTAGACAAAGGACATGTAATCTATAATCTGGTGATTTCCTCTCAATTTAAGTGAAAAGACGACAGTGTGATGAACCTAAAGTAACCTGAAATTTCGATATTCCTCAGTGCCTTCATCCTGTGTAGTCTCACCTACATAAAAATGTTGATTACTGTGATTATGGATGAAGTGTTATGGATAAGAAAGCACAAATACTTTAGGGTCAAACTTCCTTAGCTTCTATACTGTCAAACAAAATCATAATCTTTGACAGGAGCTAAAATATCAACCTGTAATTGCTTCCACTTTTTCAAAAGCATGATCAAAGGGTCTGAGGTTACATATTTATTTAAAAAATTCCACTAACCTGAGTCTTAGTCCCAAGTTTAGAATATTATTAATATGAAAAAATAATTAATGCACGGGCAGCTTTCTATTTTTTTTTCTAGTTTCCAACCACGTCTTTCTTCAGCACCTTAACATGAACGTAATGATATTAATCTGCAACAAGGCAGCAAAGTCTGGTTCAGAGAACATGATTATTTCTGCACTGTTATGTCTTCATTTCACAGTGCGGCTCCTGTTTTTAGATTTGTTGGATGTTTATTGTCGAAAGTTTCCAAATGTAGAAAACATAACTATGAGGATATGTCTGAAAGAGTGTCTAACCCTGATGATCTTTGCACTAAACACCTTTATTTTAATCCTTCTTTAAAAACATTCGTTATATCTGAATAACACAGGCGACACAACAGCTGTTATTCCAGTATTTGGAGTGTCCCCACTGTAAGGGTTCATTCAGACGATGCTCTATAAATATAAGAACTTCTGTGAGGCAATTTAGGAAACACTTGATTCGCTTTAGTTGGCTAAAAGAAAGTTGGTGTTGTTGCTGCTTCCTTTTTGGATCTCTTTGACCATGTTGTGGAGTTTCTGGGAGAGGGCCACCTAGTGGAAGAGAAAGCCACAGGCATAGGTAAAGAAATCTTTCACAATCTGTGAGAGTTAATTTCTGTATCTTAGTGAAGGACTAAGTTGGTCTGTACTCTTGCATTCAGTACAGCTTGTACTGAGACTTACTGTGTAGGAATCCGGCTTCTGCAGTCTCTTGTGCCGAGGGTGCAGAGTCTGGAGGGAGCGCTGGACCTTTGCTCTAGTTTCTGCAGTGCTGCACAAAGGCTGTGTGACCTAGAAAATGTTGAAGACACTCATAAAGGCAAAGCTCCCACACACTATAGTGGCTTGTTTGGTACTGTTTAGTACATGAAGTGTGATTTTTTTTTTTTTTTAAATAGTTTTTAAAGAAAGTACTTTTCTTTGCTGTTATATTACATACGTTTGGGGTTCTTTGTAAACTTATTAGTCACTGATTAAAAATCTAAATGGAAAATCTTTAAGATACAAACATTAAAAAAGTATGTCTTCAGTGTGATTATCCCACAATTCTTCATAAGCTGTCTGCTAATGTTTGAAAGAGCGGCCCATCCTCACCTGTCCTTTACTAAACACTTCCTGACGCAGACAGGTGACCCGAGCTGGAGTGACTGAGAGGGCGGTGTGGTTGCATCCCAGGGGGTAACAGCTCAGTGGGAGTCCCGCCTCTGGAGGAGACTCCACCGCCAGACATACCACGT